AAAACCTCCTTTACCCCCTCCAACCCTTTCGAGGACGACCCCTACCCCGCCTTCCTTCCCCTATAGATTTATATGCTTTCCATGTCATTCTACTTTGATCCATTCTCTCTAAATGACCAAACCACCTCAACAACCCCTCTTCTCGCCCTCTGACTAATACTTTTATTAACTCCACACCTTTTCCTAATTTCCACACTCCGAATTTTCTGCATAATATTTACACCACACATTGCCCTTAAACAGGACATCTCCACTGCCTCCAACCATCTCCTCGCTGCTGCATTTACCACCCAAGCTTCACACCCATATAAGAGTGTTGGTACTACTATACTTTCATACATTCCCTTCTTTGCCTCATAGATAACGTTTTTTTGACTCCACATATACCTCAACGCACCACTCACCTTTTTTCCCTCATCAATTCTATGATTAACCTCATCCTTCATAAATCCATCCACCGACACGTCAACTCCCAAGTATCTGAAAACATTCACTTCTTCCATACTCCTCCTCCCCAATTTGATATCCAATTTTTCTTTATCTAAATCATTTGACACCCTCATCGCCTTACTCTTTTCTATGTTCACTTTCAACTTTCTACCTTTACACACTTTCCCCAAACTCATCCACTAACCTTTGCAATTTTTCTTTAGAATCTCCCATAAGCACAGTATCATCAGCAAAAAGTAACTGTGTCAATTCCCATTTTGAATTTGATTCCCCAAAATTTAATCCCACCCCTCTCCCGAACACCCTAGCATTTACTTCCTTTACAACCCATCTATAAATATATTAAACAACCGTGGTGACATTACACATCCCTGTCTAAGACCTACTTTTACCGGGAAGTAGTCTCCCACTCTTCTACACACCCTAACCTGAGCCTCACTATCCTCATAAAAACTCTTTACAGCATTTAATAACTTACCACCTATTCCATATACTTGCAACATCTGCCACATTGCTCCTCTATCCACTCTATCACATGCCTTTTCTAAATCCATAAATGCAATAAAAACTTCCCTACCTTTATCTAAATACTGTTCACATATACGCTTCAATGTAAACACTTGATCTACATCCCCTACCCACTCTGAAACCTCCTTGCTCATCCGCAATCCTACATTCTGTCTTACCTCTAATTCTTTCAATTATAACCCTACCGTACACTTTTCCTGGTATACTCAGTAAACTTATTCCTCTATAATTTTTACAGTCTCTTTTGTCCCCTTTACACGTTTATTAAACAAAAATACCAACCACTCCAACACTATATCTTTCTCTGCTTTTAACATTTCTGTCATGATCCCATCAGTTCCAGCTGCTTTAACCCTTTCAAGGTCGACAGGCCCTCTCAGAGACTTGTCCTCAGGGTCAGCCAAATTTCAAAAAAAAAAAAAATATTTTTCTTATGAAAAGATAGAGAATCTTTTCCCAATGATAATGACACCAAAAGTATGAAATTTGATGGAAAACTTACGGAATTGTGTTCTTGCAAAGTTAGCTGTCTCGACGATGTTTACACATCGGCGATTTTGCCCACTTTGAGCCCTATTTTCGGCCAATTCAGTGTACTTGTCGACAAAAATCATAACTATTTCACTAGAACTCCATTTTTTCTATCGAATGAGTACAAGAAACCACCCATTTACCAATTTCAACTATCCAATACAGTGGTCAGAATTTAGCAATTTTGCCAATTTCACACAAATTTCAAAAGATGCCAATTTCCGAATAGGGTCTAGAATAAACAAGACATTCCTGGCACTAAAATAACATTTCCTCTGTTCATTAGTCACGTCCCTATGCCCCTCTTACATTCTTTTGCTTTCCACTTTGAATTTTTATTCTCACAAAAAAATAGATTTACTGTTATGCAGACTACTGCATTGGTGTAGAAATGGTATAAATAATATCAGCGCACTTGTGAAAGAATATCAGACTCACCAGTTGACGTGTATTGGACGCATAGCATGATTTGTTTACTTTTGAACTTTGGTAAAAATCGAACATTTCTGCTACTTTGAGCTCAATTTCAAGGTACTTTTCTTTGTAAAACCAGTCAAAATCATCTCAATTTCTGTAACATGTCTCCCATTCTATAAAATGAGACCAGGAAAACTAGAATACAACAATAAATACCATACGAAAATGCAGTGCAAAGTCGCTGTTTTAATCCAAAAACACGGTCAACGTTTTTTTTTACTCATTACGCACTGTGTGCTGCAGGATTTTTTTTTATACTGCGCACACTGACCACATAAACCCATTCTTTCATATGTAGGCCTACCAGCTTTCTCTCACTAGATTTGAGGGCTCTAGAATTTAGGCGTACTAGAACGTCAAAAACCCTGGCTCGTAAGCCGTACTAGTGCGGCCGAAACACTGAAAGGGTTAACCCCTTTCATTCTACGTAATGCCTCACGCACCTCCCCCACACTCACATCCTGCTCTTCTTCACTCCTAAAAGATGTTATACCTCCCTGGCCAGTGCATGAAATTACTGCCTCCCTTTCTTCATCGACATTTAAAAGTTACTCAAAATATTCCCGCCATCTACCCAATACCTCCAGCTCCCCATCTCCTAACTCCCCTACTCTGTTTTTGCACTACAAATCATTGATTATATTCGACTTGATCGGATTAATAAATTGTATGACTACATATAGTATATTGATCATTTTGTTATATTATACATTGTGATGCTGCAAATTTGCACAACTATAATGCTTCATAATTGAAATGTTCAAATTTCATTCTTTAAAATACTCATTTGTCCTTCTTGTTGTAAATTGTTTACTGTATTTTTTACTACTGAATCTATCATTGCTTAGTTAATCTTAAGTTAATTTTAAGCCTGCCCATAATGCTCTGTATACAAGGGGCTTTTAGCATGTACACCCAACTACTATAATTCCTTGTACAACTATGTATCATGTCCAAATAAAAAAATTATTATTATTGTTATTATTAACTGACAAATCCATTCGTTCCCCAGGCTTTCTTAACTTGTTTACCTCGCTCCAAATTTTTTTTTTATTCTCAGCAAAATTTCTTGACAGTGCCTCTCTCACTTTATCATTTGCAAACATAATCATTTTGGTAAAAAACATTTTGTTATGTGTGACTATGAGAGTGTTGTTGTTTTGAATGTCACTGTCTACATCAGGAGAAACACACTCGATGATGACAGGCAGATGTTGGGCATTTCCAGTGATGCTGTTAGCAAGATGATGGGGCCATACCTTGGCAAGGGTCATACACTGTATACAGACAACTGGTATACAAGCTCTCTACTCACTGATTACCTCCGTGTGAACAATACTGATATACGTATGTGGAACAGTGAGAAGAAATAGAAAACACATGCCAAGGTTTACTGGAAGCATTGCTGAAGGTGTCAGTGCCAATGACAACATGGCATTGACATGGTATGATAAACAGGAAGTGACGCTGCTGCCAACCATCCACAGAAACGAGATAGTACAAACAGATAAAGTGAACAGGGACACCAATGAACGTATTGTAAAGCCAGTTGTTGTCTTCGACTATACAACAATATGTGACTAGTCGAGAAGTGTGACATGATGATAGGGTTAATTGACTGTGTGTGTAGGAGCCACAAGTGGTACATGAAAGAGTTTTTCCATGTTGTAGACATTATAATGCTCAATGCCTTCAGTGTGTATGAAATAAAGACTGGAAAATGACTTCGTTAAGCAGAATTCACCCTGAATGTCATAAAGCAGATAGCAAAAAAGAATAGTACCACAACTGTATCTGCCCCTCAACAGCAACCTATCCCCCAAACACAACCAGTGGGGGAAGTGCCAGACCAAATCCTCGCTAACTATGACTACCTGATACTGATACCGACTGAGGAAGCTTACTGTGTAGGTGAAACGTTTCGAAATAAAGATACCTAACTGTTGCATATGTTTTACCTAACAACCTGTCAGTATTTTATACCATTTTAATATTCACTCTGTCAGACACTGCAACACAATGGTATCTTGGTACAGAACAGAAAACAATTTGGACAACTTCTACTAGTGAGAATGGCTGGATTTGAGAGGGATGTGACCTCCCAATGACTACATTCTTACCTCTACCTATGGCCTACATCTCACCTCCTGGCAGTATATAAGGCCCCATCCTGTCACTTCAACTCCATATTGTTTCAGACTATGAAACAACTCTTCTCCAGACTGAGGGACTGACCATCTCAAAACTTCAAGGGTGATGGACTGATTACAACGTCTTCATGTCTCTTCTATCAACTTTTCTGTATTCGACTGAGGAAGCCTACTGTGTAGGCGAAACGTTTCGAAATAAAGATACCTAACTGTTGCATATGTGTCTTACCTAACAACCTGTCGGTATTTTATACCATTTTAATATTCATTTAGTGAGAAATTCGTTTACCAACGTGGTCTTCAGAATGAAACTCCATCGTTAAGTGAGGCGAGGCTGTACTATACACAAGGACAACGTAGTCAGTGCTGACCTATACCTGTATATGATTCTAACTGGGTATTACTGTTTGTAGTTTTTCTTGAATTAGTGGCACAGTAATTTATAAACCAAACCAAGCAGATCAAATTAGCAAAATAAGCCAGCCCAAAAGCAAATCAGCAATTAGTAGAAGCTATTAATGCAATAAAAATCCTGCTAGATATTAGAAGGAGGATTAATCTACTAAAAATTAGAATATGACATATATAACATGCCAGATAATCAACCCTGTATGGTACTGTATTTGGATTAATTACTTCTATGTATCTGATGCATGATGTTATCTTCTCAGTAAACTGAAGTTATATTGTATTACTTATATAAAATTAATCTATGAATTCAGAAATGAAGCCTACCTACAACAATCTTTAAATTTATTTGTGTTGCCCAACTTTCCCTTCATGCAATTATATTAATGTATATGAAAGGAAGCAGTAATGTGCCATAGTAAGATGTGCCTAATAAGTACGCTAGCTGGTGCATACTTCTTGAACTGCTGTCTGTTGAGCCATCTTGATGTAGGAGATGTGATGGGTGGGGCACGTCGAGGTGATCCATTCGATGATGGACTCTGGGAGCGTGACTGCCGATCCCTGGCCATTACAATATAACTCATCACCATTACACCACTGTAGGTACTGCATACTGTTATCTACAACTGCCATGAACTGGATATTTGAAAAATTTTATGTTTGACTTATTTACAGTATCCATTTTGACACACCTTGGAGAACATTATAAAAACCAAAAACCACTGTGTATAGATCTGCTAAAAAACTAATATGGCATCTGGAGCTCAAAAATAGTCAGTATTTCTTGCATTTCTTCAATGTTTCTATTTTCATACAAATTTTCTAAAATTTTAAGGATATAATTTAATTACTGTATAAGTAATTAAAGAATAAAAGCTACTACAATAAATTAACAGTTACTACAAAATGTGATTTACAGTACACAAAAATATATAAATTTAAATTGATCTCAGTGGTCTGCAGTCTTATCTTGCATACAGATTTTATATGGATATCTACTAAAATCAAGCATATGCGGTTATTTAAAAGTAAATGAATGCTATGTAAATTAAGTTATAAAATGTAGTAAATTTAATTATATACTCTACTGTAAGAGAGAAATCCTAGAGGAGTATAACAATGTCCCAAAAGTTTCACTAGAGTAATTAAAGGTTTTCATATGAAATAAGCAAGAAAGAAAGTTATCTTAAACTTGTAAACTTTCCAGTGTTGAAATGCACCTTATCATAGATATTTGAATAAACACCTAAAGAGCTTTGACATTCTTTTGTAATGTAGCACTGAAACTTTTTTGTAACCAAAGCATTAATTTTACAAAGCAAAATACAAAGTAGAAACTGCAAATTATGCATGCCTTTTTTAATTGTTATATACAAGTAAATATTTATATGTCAACTGGATAATACAGTACTGTACTATGTCACACATGCACACAACACTTCATCTGAAGTGTTGGGTATCATGCACTGTACACCAGCAGTTTAGTACTATGGATCTAATAAGGGGTACACATATCACATGCCACCAATGTTTACTTACCATTCCATAAGTAATATACTACCACATAACACAATATACATATTAGAAATTATATTTTCTAACTATGTAAGTGCACCACTCCAAGCAGTGATTTTTACTACTGAATAATAAACATACATCTCCAGTCATCTAACTGCACTGATATATGATCAATTTACATTTCTGAACACAAAATTTGGCACAGCTTCCACAAATTGTAATCACAAAAAATATCCCAGATCTGAAATTAACAATACTGTATAATCAAATCTAAAGTGAAAAGTTATTACAGTACATTCAATTTCCTGACATGTACTTTATGTGATTATCCAGTATGTACTGTATATTGTACTATATTGCATTAATACTCTTTTGTAGAACCTTTATGCCTAAAATCACTAATGAAACTGCAGTACTGTAATTTATAATTTACTAGTGAATTCTAATGGGCTGAGAATGACTTAAAAGATTTGTTACACAGTTGTTTCAACTACTACTGGCCTTTTTTTATTAATCAGATTATTATATATGATTATTTGCCTCAATTCTTAAATCTATATAATTATCGAGCCACTCCCAATCCTTGGATTTTAATTTCTAGGCATGTAGCAACTATTTCAGTTATATAATTCAACTGCAAATTAGTTAAGAAATCTCTCACAAATACAATACTTACAGCTTACCAAAATATTATAGTAGGTTCTACACACATTTCCTCCATTATTGCAAATGCACTCAAGAGGGAGAATTTTTCAAAAAGATTTATCCTGTGCACCCTAACCTCCACCGGCTTTCCACCCTTAATTAAGCCCTCTTCCTAGTCGTAAGCTAACACAAGAAGTGGCTCCTAAATATGTACATCCTAACTGCTTATATGCTACATGCTTTGCCCCTTTATTTTGGACAGTCATCCTTGGTCTGCCCTATCAAGTATATTTCAGTCTGCTTCTCCTTAGGCCATTTACCTAGCCACTGATGACTGTAACCATGTACTTGTACCTATTTTTTCTTGGTTTCCTTCTATTATCTTTTTTTTATATAACCCTCTTATAGACATTCACTTATTATCCCAACATACAAGAACTCAAGCCAATTATGATACAATATATCAGAATACCCTTCATTCCACAACAAAAATACCAAGAAAACAATCAGATTTCTTTTCCATTACAGTATACTAAGATGCTAATGAATGCTACGTTGTTGTTCAAATGCTGGAGAAGATACTAAAAACGTTCATTCTATAAACTACAGAGAGAGTGTAAGCAAACTTGTTGCACAGTTTCAATCTATCTGAGCAATTCGATGATACAAATAAAACAGATTGTTAAAAGAATAGTGGAATTCAGACTGCATATTCCTGGACATTTGGAAGGCCATTAACACTACTATGCCACATGGGTGAAAAATCGACAAATTAGAGAAACTGTGAGAAATATCAGGAAAAAAATGGCTCCACTGGATAGAGGAATATCTCTACCTGACAAATAGGAGGCAGTCATAGTGAGAAAGGAGAGAGAGGTTTGGGAAAAGTAACAAGCAGTTCTGCAAGGATGGTTCTTAATCCTGTCCTGTTTCTGACATAAATCAATGATTTGCCTGGGAAAATTGATTCGCTTATTTATTTTTTTGATGATGTAAACATCATGGGCTCAGGAGAGAATGGACAGAATTGAAAAATAATCAAACAACTAGCAACAGAACTCACATTCAATTCTGAAAAGTGCAAAGCAATGAGGTTGGGAGGTGAAAAATAAACTTCTAGTTACAAGATAAGTTAGGCAGCTCCTAGTCAAAAAGAAAACCAAGGGACTGACAATTTAACTGAATTAATTGCCATAGGTTAACACAAACAGGATAAAGTCAGTGGCACATACACATAAATAGCAAATACAGTGAACCACCGCCTTTACGAACGCATCACGTAACGTTAAATCCACCATACGAAGCATTTGAATGCAAAAATTTTGCCTCGCCTCACGATAAAAAACTCGCCCTATGTGATTCGTCTGGGACACATCCCACGTGTGGCCTCAGCACCAGTGTTTACAAGCCAGCCAGTGGGGTCACATCTACGCATACATTCGGTGCATTTCACATCATCCCAGTGTTTTTAGTGCTTGTAACTGCAAAATAAGTCACCATGGACCCCAAGAAAGCTTCTAGTGCCATCCCTGTGGTAAAAAGGGCAAGAATTAGTATGGAATTGAAAAAAGAGATTAAGGAAATGTGTGCAAAGTGTGTTGAACTGCAAACCTTTACAGATGAAAATCACCCTGACACAGCTACTGCAAGCCGTGTTGGCAACCTGTACAATGACAATGTTATGGACCAATTTAGGAAAGTCTTAAAGAAACGGGAGGTACAGAGCTCTATGGACAGATTTGTTGTATGACAGAGGTCCAGTGACTCTCAAGCTGGTCCTAGTGGCATTAAAAGAAGGGAAGTAACCCCAGAAAAGGACTTGCTACCTCAAGTCCTAATGGAAGGGGATTCCCCTTCTAAACAATAACTTCCACACTCTCCCTTCCTCCCATCCCATCAATCATCACCAGATCTTCAATAAAGGTAAGTGTCATGTATTCTATTCTTAGTAGAGTAGTAATTGTGCATGTCTTCTTCAGTTTGTGTGTATTAAAATTAATATTTCATGTGGTAAAATTTTTTTTTTTATACTTTGGGGTGTCAGGAACGGATTAATTTGATTTCCATTATTTCTTATGGGGAAAATTAATTCAGCTAACGATATTTTCAGCTTACAATGAGCTCTCAGGAACAGATTAATATCGTAAGGCGGGGGTCCACTGTATAGTGGTACCTCGAGTTTCAAACAGCTCCCAACTCGAACAATTATGTAAGTGTATTTTTGTAAGTGCTTTTGTAAGTGTATTTTTGGGGGTCTGAAACAAACTAATCTAATTTACATTATTCCTTATGGGAACAAATTCGTTCGGTAACGGTACTCGAACAGCCTTCTGGAACGAATTACGTTCGTAACTCGGGGTACCACTGTATAATACCATTCAGAAACAACAATTCAATCATAATATATGCCACTTTTGTGAAGCAAGTACTGAAGTATGTAGCAACAACATGGAACCCACTTGAGCTATGAGATGAGGCTCAAAGAAAGAACTCATGAGGAGGAACAAGAAAGAATGGGACCTGGCCAAAACATAAAAAATGCTCAAAAAGTACACACACAAAAAGTGTGAAAACCAAAAAGAGAAACAAAATGGTATCTACAAAAACATATGAAATGACAAAAACGTACATAAAATCTTTTTAAAAATATTAGAAAACATATAAGGAAGATTCTTTAACACTATCAAATGGGAGAACAAGAGGCATTTACTATAAACTAAGAAAAAAAATTGTGGCAAAAGAACACTAGCAAATGGGATCCTAAAGGAGAAAAAAAAACAGAGATGACAGAAAATGGTGACTAGAGGAGACATATACACAGAGTTTCTCCAAATAAAAATCAAGATGCTTGAGATTTAGATGATCTATTGAGCATTTGTTGCAACCAAAAAATTTAACAAAGCTGATAAATTAACCACTGAAGATGACATGCCATGAACATAGTTCTGCTTTTTTAAATGAAAACAGGTAATCACATGCCATTGTATCAATGCTTTTAAGTATTCTCAACCAACAGTAATAATATGTTTTCTACTCCACAAGCCTGAGTTTCAGAGCAATTTTAACCTTTAGACTTCAGTGTACAGAATTCTTCTAATCGTATTACTCTAGTACTCTGACAACAGTGGGGTCAATCTTACCTAAATGTAGTATGAAGGGGAAGACTAATGTAAATGACTAATGAGAATGATACTCAAAAGATAAAGAGCAATAAGTGAGAGTCTTATCTTCACTTGGCTCTCCCTTGAATGCAATTACTTATCAAGCAGAGCAAGTTTACCCCTCAATTCCAATATATGTACTCATATTGTATACTCAACAAACTATGCAGTCTGAGTTCCACCCTAGTACAGTACCTCTTAAATGTTCCCTTGTCAAGAGTGAGGGTAGTGGCAGATGTATCCTTTGGGTTATCAAGTGAAGCATGGACCTCCATTAAATTGTCTCTTAACTCAGCCAAACGTGGGTCAGATTTTCTCAGTCCGGTCTCCACCAGTGCCTGCCAAAGGAAAGTAATAATAAAAAATATGTACTATATCAAGTGATATTTTTTATTCATTATAATTTATTCATACAGTAAGTTTGCATACAGTACAAATACAATCACATTTATTTTTTCCAACAAGTCGGCCATCTCCCACCAAGGCAGGGTTACCCAAAAAGAAAGAAAATCCCAAAAAAGAAAATACTTTCATCATCATTCAACACTTTCACCTCACTCATACATAATCACTGTCTTTGTAGAGGCACTTAGATATAACAGTTTAGAAGTCCCTCCAAACTGTCAATATCCCAGACCCCTCCTTTAAAGTGCAGGCATTGTACTTCCCATTTCCAGGACTCAGGTCCAGCTAAATCTATAATAACTGGTTTCCCTGAATCCCTCACTAAATATTACCCTGCTCACAGTCCAACAGCTCGTCAAGTCTCAAAAACCATTCGTCTCCATTTACTCCTATCTAACATGCTCACACACGCTTGCTAGAAGCCCAAGCCCCTCACCCACAAAACTTCCTTTACCCCCTCCCTCCAACCTTTTCGAGGACGACCCCTACCCCTTCTTCTTTCCCCAAGTCATTCTACTTTGATCCATTCTCTCTAAATGACCAAACCACCTCAACAAACCCTCTTCAGCTCTCTGACTAATACTTTTAATAACTCCACACCTCCTAATGATCATTGTACTGTACAATGATCAATCTAAGTGCTGTAATTTGTTACAGCAGCTATGGCAGACTGACAGGATTTTAACATAAAATGGCTTAATGTAAGGATGGAGAAGTGGAAACAAGAGACACTTGAGGATGAATGCTAACTAGTACCTTTGGCTCGCATATGAAGGATATGGGTTTAATTTTAGCACAAGCGGAAATGTTGGGTGTATTCCAACCCCCCCCTCCGGCACCTCGTGCCTCTGCTTACCCAGAGTAAGTAGGCACCTGGGTGTCAGCTGTTATGGGTTGCATCCTGAGAAAGAGTATCAAAGGTCTCCAATGGAAATAAACAATATATTGGGTTACTAACCTTCCAGGTTAATAATCAGTTTAAAATCTACTTTTTTAACTTTTTTTTTTTTTTACAAAAATCAGTTTTACAGGCTAAGAACTGCCCTCCTACCTCATCCTCATCCCAACCTTATCTAAGGTATGCTAGCCCCTCCCAGGATGCAACCCACAAGTCAACTAACACCCATGTACCTACTTACTGCTAGGTGTACATGGGCAGCAGGTGTAAGGAAACACCCAGTGTTTGCAGTGGCGTTGCTAGGGTTGGTGTCACCCGGGGCGGCATCTCTGGTGCCACCTCCATGAAATGGGGGGAGTAAACTCCAGTTACGTCACTACTGCATGACCAATGGCTAATGTTTAGCAATGAGAACGTTTAAGGGGCATAAACTGAACAGGAGAATACTTCTCAACTTTATTAATGATAAAATAAATAAATACCACTTTGAGTACAGGCAACAGATCCTACATTTATTCATCTTCAACAAGGCAAAAAACAAAAAAAAAAAAAAAAGAAAAACAAAAGAAAAACACTAGTTCCGAATCAGTGAATCTGATTTTACATTTCCTCGCCTTCAATCCTGCAAAATTATCTATCACATCATCAAAATCAATGATTTCCCCTATATAAGGCCTATTTGTACTCTGTAATCATATAAGAAGCTATATGGAAACGAAGGATTTTCCTTTTATGTTGCTGCAGCAGTTTTGGGCATTAGTGTCACCTTCAGAGGCTCTATGGTATCACCCCTTGATGGTGTCACCCAGGGCGCCCCCCCCCTAACGACGCCACTGAGTGTTACATCCACACTGAGGATCGAACTACAGACACTCAGTATATGGGCCGAGTGCACTGCCAACTGAGCCACGTGACACCTCGTTTAGTTAACAGATTGGTAAGAGCCCAAGCTATGGATCCATATGTAACTCTGTGGTCTTTTAACTACCACCTGCAGGATGTGGCTAACTGCATAATTTTGTCTATTCATGAGTGCTAAACCCATAAAGGTCATATAGTTCGTTGATAATGTGAGTTTATCAGGTATGTCACAAGGAAGGAAAGGACAGCTCCAATTCCTTCGATCAAAGGCCCTTCACCAGCATCAAGGAACCCCCCCCCCCACCATCACTGAAGGAACTACATAAACATGTACTCAAACAGTACAATTCATGTATGATATTAACATTAAATTGGAATATGCATAAGAAAATATCAGATATACTAAACTATAGTAAGCAAAAGATGCTACAAAAAAGAGCTCAATATCAAATACTTACGCCCAGAAACTTTCCCATGTGGACTGTGTCATCAGACTCATCCTTAAACATGTCAAACAAATGATCCTCAACATTAATGGGTGTAACCCTGTGGGGAAACAAGAAACAATAATTATAAAAAACACCAAACTAGTCAGTGATACAGCTAATTCTTATGAGTTTGGCAATACAGTAATTTATTCCTAAAAAATATCCAATATTAGGTTAGTTTTGTCATGGACGTTGTTTTATGCTGTTACATATAAAACACTTAACCTAACGAAACTCAAGCAATACTACCCTACCTGGAGTTTACCTGGAGAGAGTTCCGGGGGTCAACGCCCCCGCGGCCCGGTCTGTGACCAGACCTCCTGGTGGATCAGAGCCTGATCAACCAGGCTGTTACTGCTGGCTGCACGCAAACCCACGTACGAGCCACAGCCCGGCTGGTCAGGTACCGACTTTAGGTGCTTGTCCAGTGCCAGCTTGACGACTGCCAGGGGTCTATTGGTAATCCCCCTTATGTATGCTGGGAGGCAGTTGAACAGTCTCGGACCCCTGACACTTATTGTATGGTCTCTTAACGTGCTAGTGACACCCCTGCTTTTCATTGGGGGGATGTTGCATCATCTGCCAAGTCTTTTGCTTTTGTAGTGAGTGATTTTTGTGTGCAGTTCGGTACTAGTCCCTCTAGGATTTTCCAGGTGTATATAATCATGTATCTCTCCCACCTGCATTCCTAAAAATAACCTAATGTAACTTTTTCTTCAGGATACCTGCAGTTTGCTTAGAGGTTTCTGTTCTTCTCAGTAGCTGCACAGGTTGTAATGTGCATTGACTTTTGTTGTATTGGTTCAATGATACTTAATTTAATATCTTATTATGTAACCCATACCTATCTTATGAGTGCAGTTAAAATATTACAGAGGCACAAAATGGGTCCAGGAACTGGGTCTCAAAGTTTTGAAAGCTAAACAAGTTATAGTGGTAATGAACTATTTGTATGTTTATATCTGGTTACAATCAAAATGAGTTATTTATGCACACATGAATTAAGTCACAAAAATACAGTATAGATGCCATTTTGCCATTTTTAATCTCAAAACGGAACAGAATTATTTTGCATTAAATATTACTGGAGTATGCTTCCTCAGAAAGAGTGCCTTAGTGAGGGGTTCTTAATAATAATAATAATCATGATATTATCGTTATTTCTACAAGTACGTGTACACAGTGCCACTATCACATCTGCGAGAAAAATGATGGGATGGATAATGAAAACATTCAAAACAAGAGATTCCAAGCCAACGATGATCCTTTTTAAATCACTTGTTCTCTCTAGGCTGGAATACTGCTCTACATTAACATCTCCATTCAAGGCAGGTGAAATCGCAGATCTAGAGAATGTACAGAGAACCTTTACTGCAAATATATGTTCCGTCAAACACTGTAACTACTGGGAATGCTTGGAAGCACTGGACTTGTACTCATTGGTGTGCAGGCAAAAGAGATACTTCATAATCTACACCTGGAAAATCCTAGAGGGACTGGTCCCTAATCTGCATACAGAAATCACTCCCTACGAAAGTATAAGACTTGGCAGGTGATGCAACATACCCCCAATGAAAAGTAGGGGTGCTATTAGTACACTAAGAGAAAACAAAATAAGTGTCTGGGGCCCAAGACTTCAACAGCCTCCCACCAGCCATAAGGGAAATTACCAATAGACCCCTGGTTGCCTTCAAGAGGGAGCTGTACAGATACCTAAAGTCAGTGCCGGATCAGCCGGGTTGTGGTTTGTATGTAGGACTACGTGCAGCCAGCAGTAACAGCCTAGTTGGTCAGGCCCTGATCCACCGGGAGGCTTGGTCATGGACCAGGTCATGGGGGCGTTAATCCCCAGAATACCCTCCAGGTAGGTGGGTATACAGGCCTAGCTGACATCAATGACATACTAGTACTATAGAGAAAACCGCTAGTTATGCAGAGCATTTCGGGCAAGTTAGGTCAATTTTATCCCCAATATGCAACCCACACCAGTCGACTAACACCCAGGTACCAATTTTACTGATGGATGAACATGGACAGCAGGTATCTTAAGGAAACACATCCTAATGTTTTCCAGCTGAGTGCACTAGCAATCGAGCTAAGGAAATGGACTTATCCTGCCCTTCCTTGCATCGAATATGAATACCTCCCATTCCCAAGCCACTATAGGACCCTTACAGGTTTAGCGCTTCCTCCTGATTAAAACAGAACACTTCTGAATAGCATCAATCTTTAATGAAATGGGTGAAATGTTTTTATCGGAGAGGCAGGTCAGGCGGTGTAGGTGCAATTTTTAAATTCTGTGTAATAACTGTATAATGCATCATCTGTGTTTCCCTTAACTTTTAGTAATGATGTGTTTTCCTCAAAGTTTCTCCTGGATTTTAAATTGTGTAAGTTTTAATGTGCCAGTTTTATTTCATTAGATTTTGCCACTGAAGTAGCTATATTACTGTGCACCCCACATCCAATTTCATTAAACAAATTACGTAGTTTCAATGAAATAACCGGAGAATGCCTCTTCTGATCAAAAATAAGTCACAAAGTTTTACTATATCGAGTTACCATAGGTTAAATCTACATAATGTAATTTTTATGTGCCCATAACATTTGTGTACCCTCAAGACTACTGTAAAAAAAATTGAATGTTATCCGTATATCCAAAGCCTAGATAACAATTATTTATTTATTCCTTAAAAGCTGGTAAATCTTAGAGAACAGTTAGAGTGATTTAAAGCTTGGGAAGGTCTCCAGTTGCCTTTTTATGAAAGAAATTGGGAAAATTTAAATATCTGTGGCTATCTCTTCTCATTCACTTCAAATTCTCAACGCTAATATTTAGCTGTGTTGGAAACCTTTGCTGCACTCTACACTCTAACCACCCTCTGCTACACATACTCCCCCCCACACTCCTCCCTCTCACACACACACACACACACACACACATACATACACAGGTGTCAGAGTGGGCACCTATTATAGGTGGGGTTCCACAGGGGTCAGTCCTAGGACCAGTGCTGTTATTGGTATTTGTGAACGACATGACGGAAAGAATAGACTCAGAAATGTCCCTGTTTGCAGATGATGTGAAGTTGATGAGAAGAATTCAACTGGACGAGGACCAGGCAGAACTACTAAGGGATCCTGTCAGGTTGCAGGCCTGGTCCAGCAACTGGTTCCTGGAGTTCAACCCCACCAAGTGCAAAGCCATGAAGACTGGGGAAGGGCAAAGAAGACCGCAGACGGAGTACAGTCTAGGGGACCAGAGACTACAAACCTCACTCAAGGAAAAGGATCTTGGGGTGAGTATAACACCAGGCACATCTCCTGAGGCGCACATCAACCAAATAACTGCTGCAACATACGGGTGCCTAGCAAACCTAAGAATAGCATTCTGACATCTCAATAAGGAATCGTTCAGTACCCTGTACGCCATGTACATTAGGCCTATACTGGAGTATGCAGCACCAGTTTGGAACCCACACCTAGCCAAGCACGTAAGGAAACCAGAGAAAGTGCAAAGGTTTGCAACAAGACTAGCCGCGGAGCTAAGGGAGAGGTAATGGGAAATCGACCTGACGACACTGGAGGACAGGAGAGATAGGAGGAATATGATAGGAGGAATCGACAAAGTGAACAGAGACAGGATGTTCCAGAGATGGGATACAGCAACAAGGGGTCACAGTTGAAGTTGAAGACTCAGATGAATCACAGGGATGTTAAGAAGCATTTCTTCAGTCACAGAGTTGTCAGGAAGTGGAATAGTCTGGGAAGTGATGTAGTGGGGGCAGGATTCATACATAACTTTAAGAAGAGGTATGATAAAGCTCATGGAGCAGGAAGAGTGATCTAGTAGCAACCAGTGAAGAGGTGGGGCTGTGAATCGACCCCTGCATCCACAACTAGGTGGGTATATATATATATATAATTTTATAATATATATATATATATATATATATATATATAATATATATTTTATATATATATATATTTTATATATATATATTATTTTATTATTATCACACTGGCCGATTCCCCCCAAAGGGCAGGGTGGCCCGAAAAAGAAAAACTTCACCATCATTCACTCCATCACTGTCTTGCCAGAAGGGTGCTTTACACTACATTTTTTTAAACTGCAACATTAACACCCCTCCTTCAGGAGGGTGTTAATAATATATATATATATATACAGTGGACCCTCGGTTAACGAATTTTTTTTCATTCCAGTAGTATGTTCAGGTGCCAGTACTGACCGAATTTTTTCCCATAAGGAATATTGTGAAGTAGATTAGTCCATTTCAGACCCCAAACATACACGTACAAACGCACTTACATAAATACACTTACATAATTGGTCGCATTTGGAGGTGATCGTTAAGGGGGGTCCACTGTATATATATATATATATATATATATATATATATATATATTTTATATATATATATATATATTATATATATATATATATATATATATTTTATATATATATATATATATTATATATATATATATATAATATATATATATATATATATATATATGTATATATATATATATATATATATATATATATATATATATATATATATATATATATATAAAATATATATATATATATATATACAGGAAAAGGAGGAAGGCCCCACTTATATGGCTGGTTAGGTTCCAGGCTACCGCCGTAAAGCGGAAACCGCCGTAAAGGGGAACACCCTTTTTTTCCACTTACAAATGCATACAAACACTAGATAACAAGTTTACACTAACATATATTAAGTTAGGCAATAGAACCAGGCATCAAAAAACAATAAAAAGTACAATACACACATAGTGCACTCATTACTTACCTTAAAATATTTATAGTCTTAATCTAGGGTGAGACAAGTAGTATTTATTGTAAGAAATCAAGTGTGGTATGTATGGTAGTCAGCCAGGCTACCATACCAGGCCACCCCACCCACACATACAATTCTATGATATTTAAGCATCCCAGAGCGATAAAATGTATATTACAGTTCACTCATTACTTACCTTAAAATATAGGGTGAGATGAGTAGTATTTAT